ACGAAGTGGCTTATTGTGTGGACATTTATAGCAGCCAAACGCTCTGAATTCATGTTTCTAAATGTGGAGAGAAAAATCCACGGGACCCCAGGGTAGAGAGCGAGACATCCAAACTCCAAATATACAGGAGGGTCCGGGATCAAACCCACGAACTCCTGTATACCAGGCGAGGTAGTTAACATCTGGCCACCATGGCTACATCCATCGTTGCGTGTATGCCGACACCCGGGGTCTACGAGTACACAATCTTTAATACAATTAAATGTTCCAGCGACCGAACTGGACATAAGCTCTAAGAGTTCTGTAGTCATACATATACGCATAATACAATGTGACTCATTAATCCCCCCCCCCCCCACATTGCCCAAGAACGCAGAAGCGTGGTCACCACATCTACGCCTCTATATAAGGAACGAAACAGGAGGACTTCTCCACAAATCTGGCTGTCGCCTGATGAAGCTAGTTGTAATTACTGGCAAAACGTCGTACTCGGATTGTAAATGTTGCGGCTTGGCTCTCCAACACACCCGGTGTGCTGTACTAGTGACGAATTGGCATGTTCTGTTTAAGTGACAACCCTTACTAGTTGGCTGTGTCGGGTGGTGGTGGGTTTTAACGACATATTTTTATATTTACGCGATCTAACCCAAAAAACCCCTCTATTATGGACGATGTGTACAAGTTATACAAAGACAAAGATCCCCCGTATAGCCGTTAACATACTGTTGCGGCAAGTGCTGTTTAGCGAGCACCGATGAAGACTGGCACAGCGCACGAGCGGGTGGGTGTGCTAATTGAATCATTTGGCGAGACCCCGGGGTCCCGCAAAAATCAGGTCAATAATTATTATTTTTCAGTCCGCCGACTCGTGATCCCGACAGAAACGCGCCGCCCGCCCAGACTCGTGCCAACAATCGCCAGCAGGCGGCGATCAACACGATGGGCGCCACCCCACCGGCTAAACGTAAGCCCAGGGGGCGTCCGCCGCAGTCGCGCGCGGCGACGACGCCCTCCGGTCAGCAGTCGATCCTCAGCTTCTTTGCCAAGGCGAGCCCGCCTCCGCAGTGAATTTAACGTATTATGTAATTTATTATTTTCTATTTCTACGTGACTTTACCGAAAGAACCGAAGAATAATTCCTGCAGTCACGAAAGCATCAAATAAAGTTTAAACCACCTCTACGGGGAGGTTTTAAGTTTGTTTTTTCCTCTCTCTGTGTCTCGTTGTTGTCTCTCTCTGCTTGTGTGTCTGTCTTTGTGTCTCCATGTCTGTGCCTTGTCTCTCTCCCAAATTTCTGTGTCTCGTTGTTGTCTCTCTCTGCTTGTGCGTCTGTCTTTGTGTCTCCATGTCTGTGCCTTGTCTCTCTCCCAAATTTTCACACTTAACTTCTAATTGAGCAATCTTTGGAGTGGCGTAATCGACCAGGCCATGTGTTGATTGTGTGTTGACCGACTCTGTGTCGCATTACATTACATTTCCAAATTTTACTAAGTTAGTTTGATTTAGTGTTGCCTCCGTCTCTGTCTCCCCTCAGCGTTGGCGGTGGAGCTCTCATTGTGGGATCTCCCATTGACATGCTAATTCTTCTAACCGCCCCCCCTCTCTCTGTACCCCCTCTCTAGCTATTTAAGGCCTCGACACAGAGACGTTGTTTCTCTGTGTGCCCATGCGTGTGTGTCTCTCTCTCTCTGTGTCTCTGTGTTAACTCTTTCCACTTGTGTGTCTGTGTATGTCTCCGGTTCTTGGACGTAATCAACCAGGTAGGGTGTTGACTGTTGTGTCAGCCGACTTTCTGCGCTGTGTTGCATTATATTTCTAAGTTCACTAGGTTTGTTTCTATTTCATTTGTACCTGATGATGATTGCTTGCTTTGCAATCGAAACGTCGTATATTATGTAATTTATTATTTTCTATTTCTACGTGACTTTACCGAAAGAACCAAAGAATGAATTTAACGTGTTTATGTAATTTTTCAACTTTTTACGAAACTTAGTGCCCCGAGTAGCTCTCGACGAGGCCAATCGATTGACGCTAGTTTTGTTGTCGGTAAGGCAAGACTCGTGTCGCTACGCGGTTTTTCCCACCCCGGGGCAGTGATGGGATCCCGGGGTGCCCCCAATTGCTTCAATTGTAACTGTTATTGTAACATTTTACGTGAATCAAAATACTTATTTAAACTTTAAATAAATTAATGCGTTATTACAAAATCTTACAAAGTACAGTTTTACGCTTCGAAATATCACGGACATTCCGATTATGTTAACACATTTTATATAAGGTACATGCACAGCAAACTTGGTCAAACCACTGCTGAATGAGTGTCTCTGTGCGTTGTGCGGGTTATTGGGGGGTTATTTGAACACAATTCACTCCCACGGGTGAAAATGTCTCTTACACAGTACCTTTTAAAACTTACTACCCATATTCCGTATACGTGACAAGTCGACAAAATACAAAGAAATAAAACAAATTGTCATTTACGATTATAAATACAGGAAAAGGATACCAGGTAAAGCTTGCTGAACGCTGGAGTTATGTTACTGGGAAATTCCGTGTTGGGCACAACCGCGTTTGACAAATAATAGACCTTATGGTAAAAATAGAGTTGCATTCCTGGGTCCGAAATTATGACTCCCTCCCTCTTTGTTTAACTAATTCTACACGATTACCCACCTTGTCATTGTAACAAAGGATGCCGAGTCGCTCTCCATTTCACCCCAACACAAAAACATGTTCATGTCTTTGTTTTTTGTTTGCTGCGGTTGCACCCGATTCAAGAGCCGAATGGCTCACAGGGCTATACCAAATAAATGGAACTGTGAAATGGAACTATGAACACCGTCTCCATTCCTCTTCCCGCACCGCGGCACTCACGCCCAACGCTCTCTCCCCTGACACTAAATTGCCAGCCCGACGCTCGCCCCTAACACTGTCACTTGAACGTTAATTATTTTCCATATAGGCGTCCGTATGAATAACGTCCTCAACGAGTGGACGTCTAGATGCATGCGGCAATGTGTGTGAACATTTGCGTTGTGCGTGAGCGTGTCAGGTACGTGTTACATTATCACGAAAAAAAAGACACACATGGTAAATAAACCCTCAAACGGATGCAGCACTCCCACCTCATGCAAGCCTATCCTATGTTAGCAACAAACTTAGCAACATCAAACCGCGTAGAGGTGAAACAGGACCTGTTACAGAAAACAGACCTCATGAAGCTGTACGGCCGAAACACGCATTCGTTAAAACCGCGTTTGGCGAGGTTTGCTGTACGAGACATTTTGATTGTAATTATTCGTAACTGGTAACGTCGTTTATATAAAAAAAAAAATTAACCCTGCCTAGAATAGCAGCAACGCTACCTGGCATTTCCAACCTCACGACGCAGCACGCATCAGTCAGCGGCAAGTCTAGCATGATACAAACTTGCGCCCATCACGTGAAGCGTATGGGAAGTCACTGGTGACCGGGCTGACAGCATTGAATCAAACTGGCTGAGCATCAGCATCATTGCAACTGAGCGTCTTGTAACCCATTGTAGTCGACGCTCCTTCAACGGAGGAGGAATAGCAAAGCTACACGAACTCTCATGAAGACCTCCCGTCGTGGCTATTGCTGCCATACGCAAGAGACTTGAAAGGAGACAATCACACAGGCATCATATTCACGGTTTTGTTTGGATAGAGGGGGGAGTGGTGGTATTTCTGGTTGGCTTACCGTGCCTTGTGAACCCCGGCGATGTTACCGAGTTCGATTACCAACCACAGTTAACAACATCACCTGGTGAGTGGTTATTTGAACCCTGTCCTCATCTCGTTCCCTCCTTCACCAAGCCTTCTCTCACCAGCGTGAAGTATGGTAAAATATCCCCATCGCCGCTCCATCATGGAACCCCTACCCCCCCCCCCCCCCGATATTTTAGACGGCCGTTATACGACAAACACAATCTGAGATGTTTTCATGAACGTGAAATTGTAATGACGTAATTACGTTTAAATTCTTGATATGCATTTCATGTTAAATACACATATGATTCGCATGGTTGGCTATGAACGGTGCTAAAAGAAGTGCAACGTACATTAATTTCACGAGTATTTCGTGAGGCTTTATCAGAGTGGGCACAGGAGCCACAACGAGCACAGGGCCTCAGTCCAGTTTCCATCTGATGTCAAATAGGACGATTGCACATTTGCGCGAAACCCAATGCGTATTGTGCAATGGTTGCAACTGTGAGAGTTATTGGCCATGGCGTGACACGGGTACATTGGAAATGTATTTTATTCATTTACAGCAACTCTTGTGAACAACCATTCCTATTGTTCCAGTGTGGTTGGGTATTGTGCCTATGGGGCGTTGAGGGTACATGTACTGCTGAAATGGTTTAAAAATTGTATTACAGGAAATGTAAAGAAAAATATTTTTTATGTAAGATACGGCTCTTTGTCAATTCACTGCTGGGTGAGGGACTCGCCCACATTGTATTGGTAAACCACAAAGCAAACTCATCCAAATCCTCTGATCTCTCCACTGGACCTCAATCCAATCCGAGAGCAACTGCAAGTTTTCACTTACCATCTAAATGAGATCATCCTTGTCATGCATTCTCACCGTGACATAATTACGTGTAGCGTGAGCTCGTGTGTATTGGAACATAACACCATTACCTGCAAATGAGATATATCCAAGGACAAACACACGTTAGAAAGCCACAATCCATGCATATGAATGGATTTAAAATGTATGCCAATGTAATGGATTTATTTACCCCTTCATTATTTGTTCATCACGATTTTTATTTTAGCTTTGGTGACCCACGGATTATGAGATGATGATGGCAATAACGGTGAAGTGTCTGTTCTTTTAACCAGGCGAGGACTCGACGAGCCGAGGATGAGTCTCATCTTTCAAACAGTGGCTTTGTGGTGTAACCCTCTGAAATATTTTAGCTGGGTGCGTGCACCTCTGTTGATGATGGGGACTCGTCGTGCGACACATACCTGGATGGGCGTTCTGCCGCAGCTGTTGGTGCCATTAGGATTCACTCCACGCGCCAGAAGTAGCTCCACTTCTACCGTTTTACCCAGCGCCGCAGCCTTGCTGAGTTCTTCAATGGGCTCCATCAGAAGAAGAAGCAGCGGCGGCAACAACGATGCTGACGAAGACGATACCTGTGATTTTTGGGTTATACAGTCTTCGGCCTGTGACCAGTGCTTAATTTTAGCTGCAGCTGTCCGGATCTACGTTCCTGAAATATATAAAACAGCAACCCCGACCCCGGGGTTTGAGGATTAGGGCGAAAAACTGAACCATGATTAATGAATTTCAAACAAATGACAAAGTCACCCGGAATGTGCTGTGATCCCGATGTTATCAGACCCTGGAAGCTGGAGAGTACTTGTGTAGTGTCGTAGGTCTTTTTCCTTCTGCTCGAGCCTTGTGTGTGCGCGGGTGGCGTGCGTTGCACACACACTCAGTCGGAGACGAGATCGTCGCAGGAGGCACCGTCCTCCCCTTTTATTGTGTTCACACCACCAACTCCGGCCCCCCCTCTCCCACGACCACGCTACCATACAGCCCGGCCTAGACACGACCCTGCCCGCGTTGCACCGACGGCGTCGACCGAGACAGCCAACTACTGTCCGGCCTCACAATGCCCAGGCGAAGGCGGTAGCGACGAAGGCGGCGGCGACGACGACAGTGACGATGAGACGAGTCCACTCCCAGAACCGGCAGCCTGCTGCTCATATTCCCCTCGGCGCGGCTTGGCTCTGCCCTAGCCACGCCTCCCTTCTCGAACCCACCAGAGGGTTCTAGGGGTTTCCCCACGAGGTCTACCGTGACCCTTGCCCCAGTTCCTCCGCCCTGCCGGCACAACCATGTATATGCTCAATGGCATGTGTGCTAAGTGTTCACTTGCAGTTGCTGTACAACAGTCAGTGCTATGTCACTACATCACTGCCCCCCCCGGTTAAAAAAACAGCCGTCCCCAGCTGTCAATACAGAGATAAAAACTTCCCCACAATCCCGTTACAACCGCGGCGTCCCCCGCAATCAACAACACATCTCACTACTCCCCGGTGCCCCCCCGATAACAAACCAACACTCACCCCAATGCAACGTCCCCGATCTCGCAAATCAGCAACTCTGCAGCACGGCGCCCCCATCCGCGAATCGGCAACTCTCCCCCAGGCCCCTCATCCACAAGTCGTCGATACTCCCCACACAACGCGACACCCGCCCGCAACCGATACACCTCAATTTCCCTTTAACCCAGACCCTTAGCCCCAACACCCCCTCACCCTCAGACCCCCTCTCAGTGCGAGGGAGAGTCCCCTCTTCCCACGACATAGCTCACGTGATCCAGTCCATGGCGCCGGTCACCCCCTTCTCAGCGGGGTCCTGCACCTCTGGAACCCAGAGGGCCAAAAGACGATGGAGACGGAGTCCTCGGCTCAAAGGGCGTGGCATCTCACCGCTCGGCAGCGCCCGCTCAAATCCGGTCCGCGAGACCTCGCAACTTGGCGGTCTCGGTAGGCCCCCAAGACCCGGTCCGGTGGCCCAGCGAGCACGGGTGACTTTGCAAGTGGTTACTCGTCACCCTGACACTCCACAGCAGTGTGGCCCGACCGACCACACATGAAGCACTTGGGCGTAGGTCCCCAGGGCAGAGGGAGCTGTCCCCGCCGTGGGTCCTCCCGCGAGGATGTTGTTGCTTGAGCCCCCTGGCCCCCCACCGCCGCCACCATATATTGCAGGCTCCATGTCGTGGCCTCCCACCTTGCCCGCTGCTGTTTCTCCTCGAAGACCTGTATCTTCCTGACCACCATATAGGATGAAATTTCTGTGCTGATGGCGGAGGGCAGGGCAACCCTCAATTTTATTGCCAGCTCCCGCAGCCTCTCCACCACTCGAAGGTCGAGCGCCCCGTCACCCAAAAGTGAGTATGCCTCATGTACCAGCACCAGCAGCGCTGCCCGGAAGGTATAGAGCGTCTCGTCCTCCATTCTCTGGAGGAATCTTGTGCAAGCCTCCCGTGCCAGATCAGGAGCAGCTTCTTGCAGCTCTGTCACTCTTCGCACCTCTTCCGCACGCTCCCGTGCTCGCCTCAAAATGGTGCTCGCTTCAAAATGGCACCCGCCAGCCACGGGAGGTCCTCTGGCAACAAAATGGGGCCCACCATGTGCGCGGTCCCCTGTCTGGAGCCCCTTGCTCCCGCTCCGACGGAAGCTCCCGTTTGATTTGTCCCCACTCTCCTCCGCGACGTTCCCTGGGGTACGCGCCTCCTGCTGGCCTGCGCCCCTCTCCACGTGGCGGTCCTCCGCCATGCTGCTTGGTCGGCGCTTGACCACGGGAAAATCTCAGCTGCTCCCCCCGTCGACGTGCAGCTCCCACTCTCTCTCTCCGTTGATGTGCAGCAACCGTTCTCTCTCTCCGTCAAAGTGCAGTCGCTCTCTCTCCGTCGACGTGCAGCCTCTCTCTCCGTTGACGCTCAGGCACTTCCGCCACCTGGCGTAGCCACTCTCACCGTTGACGCTCGGCCGCTCTGTCCCTATTGACGTACAACCGTTATCGCCGTCGATGCGCAGCCGCTCCCGCCATCTTGCGTAGCTGCTCCTGCCGTCGATGCTCAGCTGCTCTCTCCGTCGTCGCACAGGTGCTCTTGCCTTCGACGCGCTCGCGCCGTCGACGCCCAGCAGCTCTTTCTCCGTCGAAGTGTAGCCGCTCCCGCCTCCTTGCGTAGCCACTCCGGCCATCGACATCCAGCCGCTCTCCCTTCGCACCCCACAAATTTTGCGTAGCAGCTGTCACGCCAATCTGCGGCGGCTCTTCCGCTGCCCAGCAGTCACGGGCTTTGTAACCGGGATCCCGAGTGCCGGGACTGTCGGAGGGATGGCCGTCTCGCCATCCTCGCCCCGACGACACTACAAGTGGGTTTTTTAATAACCCACTTCTGACACCAAATGTAGGTCTCTTCTTCCTTCTGCTCGAGGCTTGTGTGTGTGCGAGTGGCGTGCGTCGCAAACACAGTCGGAGACGAGGTAGTTGCAGGAGACACCGTCCTCCCCTTTTATTGTTGTGTTCATGCCACCAACTCCGGCACCCCCTCTCTCACGACCACGCTGCCGTACAGCCCGGCCTAGACACGACCCTGCCCGCGTTGCACCTACGGCGTCGACCGAGACAGCCAACTACTGTCTGGCCGCGCAATGCCCGGGTGAAGGCGGTAGCCACGAAGGCGGCGACGACGACAGCGATGACGAGACGAGTCCACTCCCAGAACCGGCAGCCTGGAGCTCTCACTCTCTGCTGCTTATATTCCCCTCTGCGCGGCTTGGCTCTGCCCTAGCCGCGCCTCCCTTCTCGAACCCACAGAGGGTTCCAGGGATTCCCCACGAGGTCTACCGGGACCCTTGCCCCAGTTCCTCCGCCCTGCCAGCACACACACCCGTGTATATGCTCAACGGGGTGTGCGCCAAGCGTCCACCTGCAGTTGCTGCTGCTATACAACAGTCAGCGCTATGTTGCTACACTTGGATGGGTGACAGCCAACTGGTAAGCGCTCAAGGCACTTTCCCCAACAGCCAGGTTAGAGGCCACATCCGGTTTTGACACACTCACGTTATAGTCGTGTATATACTGTATACACCAAGTACGATTATGCATCCTTCGTAAGTCTGTCCCTCCGCGTAAGCGTGCGTTCTACACTTCCCGTCAATCACAAGACCTGCTAGGAGTGTATCATTTCAGCAAAATTGGTTCAATACAAGCAAACTCTGGACCGTTTTCGACACACACAGTGCCTCATCAGCAGTGAGCTTTCCTTGAATCACTGTTGAAGTGCCGGATGTTTATAGGCAAGGACCCTCTCTTTAAGAAACGTTTCGAAACAAAACGATAATTTACAACACAATGTGGTGGGACAGACGTACAAATATGTCTACTCACTTAAATAGTTGTATTGATTGATAATTCGATTTTATTACGTATTTATTTTACAGTTTTTGAAAAGCATACACACGATAACATATATTCAAACAAGTAATGTCAGCGTGAATATAAGATAACAGAGAAGGCGAGTATAAGGGTGGGTAATTCTTTTGTTCTAGATTTAAAGCTTTCGTGACTGCTAGGATCCATACTCTTTGGTTCTATTGGGTAAAGTCACGTAGGTGAAAAGGCCGCTTGTGTTGTGGCCGAAACGTCGGGATTTTTTGTTATTTTATTTTCACCTACGTGACTTTACCCAATAGAACCAAAGAGTATAATTCTTTTGTGTTGTGTATTATTTATTATAGACGTCCCTTGCCGACAAACATCTGGAAGTTCACTTGCAAGGATTCGAGTGAGCCAGACTGCTGATGAGACACTGAATGGCAGAGTTTGTGCTTGTATTGAAACTCCCAAGCAGGTCTTTGTGATAGCCGGGATGTGTAAAGCACACGAGCACGTGGAGGGACAGACATACTTGTACGAGGAAGCTAGGCTATTGACTTACATATCGCGTGTAATAATAACCATCAAAGATCACTGGATCTTTCGTTAAGCTTGTTCATGTATGGGTTCAGAGAACTTTATATTGTTGCAACTACCCTCCCATATGTCATCACAAAATAATGTATTCGTCCTGTGTTTAAGTAGTAGTCGTAGTGTTATATTGTAAAATGTATATAAATGACTGGTGGTGAAACATCACGTAGTTAGTGCTGATCTGCTATAGATCGGCGCGGTTTGTTGTGAGATACAGGAGGTGAGGCCCAGGTAAAAGTGTATTGCAACAATAACGATTATATAGAATACAGAACATAAGCCGAAATAAAATAAATCACATAAAACGTACAGTGCCGTTCCATCGTTGTCCCAAGTAGAATCACGGTTTTAATTAATAGCGAATAAAAACGACGCGATTCTACATGTATAGCACGGGAGTAACTATTGTAAGCAATGTTTAGACAATACAATACGAACGTAATGTTGACCAGATAATGAAAGGCAAAAAGGCAGATACAATAATATAAATGTATCGCTGTTTATGCAACCAGAATGTTATATTCTTGGTTCTTTCGGTAAAGTCACGTAGAAGGGAAACAATAAAATAATAAAAATATAAAACAATACAATTCTCACGACATTTACATTTTTATTGCTGTGGTTTTCACACCTGATGATGATTGCTTGTGTTGCAGTCGAAACGTCGTGAGAATTTTATTGTTTTATATTTATATTATTTTATTGTTTCCCTTCCACGTGGTGACTTTACCGAAAGAATCAAGAATATGAATCCCTGCAGTCACGAAAGCTTTAAAATAAAAACCAGAATGTCGTTTTAAAATAGCGAGTAATAAGTAAACTTACTCGCGATATCAAGCGGTAGATATGAAGACAAATTGTCAACGCACTACAGTATATAAAATATACTATATAAAATATACTATATAAAATATATGAAATATATACTACATAAAATATATATAAAATATATACTGTCTGTTATGCTGATTAAGACCACACAGACATTAAAAACTGTAGTCAGCATTGTACTATTATCATACACTTTAAATTCGTGCATTGTTATATACTCGATGTTGTAATTAGCAGTCGAATTAATTACATATTGTCTATAATATTCACATATCTGAATGCGTAACAGGCTTGTGATCTCAGTCTGCACTGTTATAAATATATAGGAATTAATAAATAGTAACATTCAATATCTACAGTAAAAAAATTATAAGATTAAACGCTCT